CAGTCACCCTGCACAAGGAGATCAAAGCAGTGTGACTGGTCTTTACTACCGGAATCTCCTGCACAGAAGCAAGGTTAATACTGGACTACTGCGTAGATCTGAATACACGAGCACACCAAGCTTCAAGAACACACCATTCTTACTTGTCATTTGATAATGTGCTTATCCTATGGTCCAGCAATAACCACTTGCCCTCCAGAGGCTTCACCTTACTTCCTGACCAGGACATTTTTTGTGATATGGCACTGCGTTACTTTAACGGACATTTGCGCAGTTATGCAACTGCTGCACCCAAATGCAGTTTGTCCTCCCCCAAGAAATAGAGCTCTTTCGGTGGTTTTTACTTTTTTTGTGCAAAAAGAAAAAAAAAAAAAAAAAAAATTGACTTTTTGCTATTAACTGGTTCCCTACCGCACTATAGCTGAAAGACTGCTACAGTGCAGTTATCTAGTCCTGGGAGGATGTCCATGGATGTCCTCCCAGAACACACCCCCAGTGTTGTGCACCCGGTGATCGCTGTGTCCTAAGGACACAGCTGATCACGTGATACAGGAAACAGCCAGTCACAGTGGCCTTTTACCACATGATCAGCCGATCACCCAATAAATAGTTGCCGGTTATAGGGTGCACTTTCCTCATGCTGTCACAGCGTGAGGAAAGTACTGCCGATAACTGGCACTTGTCAAACATTATCAGTACTGATCAGTGCCCTCCACCTGTGCCCACCCATACAGCCTCATCAACACACATCAGTGACGGAGAAAAATTACCCGTTTGCAAAATTTTATAAAAGAAAAAGAAAATTATTTTTTTTCCTCTTTGTTTATAGCTCAAAAAATAACACCCAGCGCCACTTAAATACCACCAAAAGAAAGCTCTATTTGTGTGAAAAGAAAAAATGCTAAAACTTCATATGGGTACAGTGTTGCATGACAGCGCAATTGTCATTCTAAGTGCGACAGCGCTGAAAGCTGAAAATTGGCCTGGGCAAGAAGGGGGTACAAGTGCCCAGTAGGCAAGTGGTTAAACATGTCCAGTTAAAAAAAATAACTAAATTAAGGCCAAACTATTCTGCTACATGTCCTTGCTAAAAAAAAAAAATATAAAAAATCCCAATACGTGTAATTGGTTTACGTGAAGGTTATATCATAAAATGGCAGTTTAGATTTACTAAAACAATTGCATTCCCATGTTGTGTACTGTGGGAGACCAGATTTAGTCAATGTAGGGTCCTCCACTGCTTGCTTCAATTGCAGTTCAAGAAATTACCATAGTAGCGAAATCTAGTGATTCCACTACCATGCTGCTCAATGTTCTTGCTAGAGGCCCTGATATGAGGCAGCCAAGCCCTACATCTACCAATATAGCCACCTCCATAAGGAGACTGTACAAGACATGACAGGTCTGATGAGGGCAAGATCAGCTGCAGAGAGAAAACAGGCAATACAGTCAACCAATCCATCTGCCTACCTTTTAGAGCAAAACTTCTAGAGTTTAGCTCCTCAAGGTGTGAGCAAACATCTTAGAGTACCTACCAGTTTGCTTTCTCACGAGACAATTCTGACATTTGTTATCCATGTAAAATTCAGCAATTATTTTGCTGGAAAAAAGTTACAATGCTGCTGCCACCCTCTTGTCTTTTTTTATTTTAAGCAGGAGGCCATGAAGAATAAAATGGTGGGTGCTGCAGTTTGTTACAATATTTGTGCAGCAGTTTTTCAAAAGATGTACCAAAATGAATTTTAGTACACAAGCACAACATCCATTTTTATAAAACATAGGATTATGTTACCAACCAACAGTAAACAGATACCAAACACGCCTTGCTGTAAAATTGTACACACCCATGGAAATCCAGAAAACTGTATATTAACCCCTTTGTGCCTAAGGGCAAAATAAATCTAATTTTTACGTGTTCGTAAAACCATACATATCACCCCAACTACTTTGTGCATCCAGGTGGAGTATACCTCTTTCAGGACAAATTGGGCTCTCATTTGGTGGTAAAAAAAGGTAAATTTATATCTCCTGATTTTTTTTTTTCAATATATCAAAAGAAAAACTGGCCCAATAGTAAAAAAAAAAAAAAAAAAAAAAAAAAAAAAAAAAACACTTAAATTTAGCTGTACATTTCTTGCTACTACCATAACCTACCAAACTCAAAATAAAAGTCTCCTGCCCCTGACAATCGCAACAATACCACGTGTATGTCAGTTCTCTGTACCCATAGTACGACCCAGAATCAATAGTGCGCATTTTGCTTTTTTTTTATCCTACCTAAAAGACACTGATTGCAATTTAAAAATGTAAAACCAAGAGAAAAAAAAAAAAAAAAAAATACTGACCCTGACCCAAACACTAACTTGTCACTGACCAAGATCAAATCTTAATCTAGGTTCCCCCCCCTTCATTTTTTTTTTTTTTTTTTTTTTTTTTTTAAAAAAAAAAAAAAAAAAAAAAAAAAAACACTTTTTCTCTCTGGAAAGGACAGATATAACGCATCTCTCCTCCATTCAGAGGATAGACACAAGGGTGGCCTTCAGTGACTGATCACTGATAGCCAGAGGCTATAACAGCAATCAGGTGACCCGGATTTGGGAGTTCTAGGCAAGCTGGAATATGTTTGGTTTTGGGTTTAATACCGCTTCAATGCACTCTGCATTACGCTAAAAACACCTTCCAATGCTCATTCAAACACCACTCCCCTCCGTCATGATCCATTGCTGTCCCTGTTTTCAGCACTACTGTTCTCTCTTCCTGGTATCAAAGAGACACTGTCGGTCAAATCCTGTGACGAGGAAGCACATGTTGTGCGTACCTATAGATACACAGCCCAGCTCAGGAATGGGCCTGCACAGGTGCCCCCTCAGCTCTTGGCTTGCTGAGGGGCACTCAGAGGAAGGAGGAGTGAAGTGCACCAACAAGGGAATGCAGAAGAGAAGGGACGATTTTTGCATCAACACTGCACACAGCAGATAAGCAACATTTCATTTTAAAGCGGAGTCCTGGACTCCCGCCAAAAAGATTGCAAATACTGTAGCTTCTGACTTAATATCAGGGCACTTACCTGTCCAAGGATCCTGCAGTGTCCTCACCCCAAGCCGATTCTTCGCCTTGGAGCTGCGCTTTGTGAATAGGCCACAGTCCTCTGGGACCTGTAAAGTATCCCAGAGGGCTGCGGGAGGGGGCCGAACTGACTCAAAAAACAGGTACCTGCCCCCCCACACACAAAAAGGTGCCAAATGTGGCAGTGGAGGAGGGGGAGGAGGGGGAATGGTGTTAGAGGCAGCTAAGCGGAGCTTCCACTTTGATCAGAAATATTTGCACATCACTAACTTTTATAGCCTGGAAGGACAGACAAAAAGGCCTCCAGAAAGCCCTGTTAAGATCTACAGTTTACAGTAAAATACCATGATTAATAAGCAGTTGAATTTTTAGAACATTCAACACCCAAAGCGGATTTGACAATGCTCCCTTGCCTGTAGTCAATCATGAAAATGTCCAGAAAATAAATTGAAATAAAAATGGTAGCAGGTTCATGAAGAAATGCCTTCAAAGGCCAGTGAAGAATACCTATACATTGGTAGCCTCTGTCGATAGGTGATCAACCTCTCATCCCTAGGAACTGGCTGAGAAAGCGTGCATTTAAGCTGTGCCTCCTAAATACGTGACTTCACCTTACACCTAGCATACAATTCATGCTGATAGCCTGGAGTCATCTGTGCCTTCCTGCACATAATTCACAGATTCACCAGACACCATCTGATCTGATTCACCTCTCCCCAACTAGTTCCAGCATCACAGGCCAGTCCCTCCTGACAGCACGCTCTGCACACTGCTCCACATTCTACTTTCATTTCTTCCACGCTGATCCATCAGCGTTGAGATCAAAACACCGCTGCAGTAAGGGGTTAATAGGGAGAGAATGGGGGGAGGGGTGCAGTAAGGGGTTGACAAAGCATATGGAAATAGGGTGCACAAGGGGTTGAGAATGTATATGGAGACTGGGGAGTGCAAGTAAGGGGTTGACATATGTACACTGGGGGGAGTGCAGTAAAGAGTGATGTAAATGGAGATGGGGGAGGTGCACTAAGCATGAAGTGTATGCAGATGAGAAGGCACAGTAAGGGGGTCAATGTATGGAAATGAGGGGGAGCAGTAAGGGGTTGCTCTATGAACAGTGGGGTGAGTGCAGTAAATGAGGATGGAGAGGTGCAATAAGTGGTCAATGTATGGAGATTTGAGGGGTCCAGTAAAGGGTTAATGTATATAGAGATGGGGTGGTGCAATAACTGCTCAATGTATAGGGATGGGGGTATAGGAAGGGGTTAATGACATTAAGATGGTGGGGTTGATCTATGAACATGGGGGTGCAGTAAAGGGTTAATTATGTATGTGTAGATGGACAGGTGCAATAAATGGAGATGGGTGATCCTGTAAGGGGTTAATGATATCAAGATGGGGGGTGTAGTAAGGGGTTGATCTATGGACACTGAGGGTGCAGTAAAGGACTCATGGCGTTTACATAGATGGTCAATAAATGAAGGAAAGTCAGGGGTCAATGGGGAAGTGAAGAGATTGGGGGGTGTTAATGAATAAAGATGTGGAGAGCAGTAAGGGGTCAATGGTGTATAAAGAAGGGACAGTCCAGCAAGGGGTTAATCTATAAAGCCAGGTAACTGCAGCAAGGGGTTAATGTACAGAGGTGTGGGGGCAGTAACGGGTTAATATTGCTGCACAGTGGCGGGGATAGCACCCTCTGACCCCGGAGGGAAGGCAGCCATGCTCCGTGCAGAGTGACAGGCGTCAGCGGAAGAGCCGGAGCCCGGGGTGTACATACAGGTGACCCGCAGGGTGTAACAGTCAGGCCGCCCCCTCCATCCTGACATGCAGTAAGGTCACGTTCCGGGTCCCTATTTACAAGCCTCACGCCCCCCACCTGAACCTGTCGTGCCCGCCCATGGAAGTTCCACAGCAGCGGGAAGGAGGCGGACACACACCTGCCATCTCTGCTCGGAGTGTCTGCACACGGCGATGTAGTGCGCGCTCCCGGACTTTCTCTCCTCCCTGGCCCGGCTGTACAGATGCTGGGGGTCACTCACTGGTAAGAACTGCCTCTTATAACGCAGGGACCATGTGACCATGCCCCGCCCACTAGGCCGGCCCCCAGAGGGCGGGCACATACTCCAATACAAACACATGGACAAGCTGTCTCCAGTGCTGGCAGTGCTGAGGAGAGGACTGAGCAGTGTGGGATCTGTGGACGAACTGTACAGCACAGTGTTGGAGACCTAGTCCATAGTGTCATGGTAACAAATTCCCTGTCTGTTGGAATCTACGGCTGACTGTGGGATTCTAAAAGTCAAAGCATTTCAGTTTCTGTTCTTTGCAACCAAGGCACCAGTACACAGTCTTCCTGGAATCCTCTTCTCCCTGATGCTATAGGTGACTCTGCACAGAGCTAGGCATCACATCACAGGCATCACTGGCAGTCTTCAGGTTGTTGGCTTGTGTAGCCTTCTTTGGCCCCTCCCGAGCAGGACATGACGCTAAATCTGTATAAGTAAGAAAACCAGAACCTTCACTAAGTGGCAGAGTGGGTTTGATAAGAAAGTTGGCAGTGCCTCCACCCAGGACAGGGCCTTTGTGAACACTGGGGATTCCTTTCCTAGGAAATTACCAGTAATAATCTGCACAAAGTAATTGGCAGCAGAAGAACTACTTCAACCAGCATAAATCATACGTATAAAGATGGACATCAGTATGTAATTAATAAAAGCTTTATATAAGAAGAGATTAGTCACAGTACATACATCCAATGTACAAACAGGTATTATCAGCAAAGGGCCCAACAAGAGTCCTGGTGGAACTGTGCACATATACCCAGGTATATTAACAGACATACCTCTAGAAGAATGTTGCAGCAAAGTCCAATTGCAGGGGCTCCTGGGAATATCCTTTAACCATTGTCCAACCAGCCTGGAATGCAGCTTCCCACACACAAAAGCTGTGATGTGGCACTGAAACTCAGAATCAGCCTATCTACACTTTAGTCCTTAGTGGTTTCTAAACTGCCATGCAACTGGACTTCTAACTATCAGAAGTGTTCTGATCTGGGCAAAAATACAGCAGCAGTAGCAGCCCATGTTTGTATAAGATCATGTGGCTCAGTTCTCTGTGTCTCTCTTCACTTCCACCTTATGGGGTCTCTGACCCAGATACACAGAGACAGGAAAAGAAGTATATAAATAATCTCTGTGAAAATTAACCCCTTCACGAGCAAGGTCAAAACAAACCTTAACGCCCAAGCCCAATTTTGCAACTTTGACATTTGTTGGTATAACTGTACATATCATCTCAACTACTTAGCATATCCAGGTGGATTATACCTTGATTTTTCAGGACAGATTGGGCTTTCATTTGGGGGGAAATGTTAGAAGAGATCTCCTGTTTTTTTTTTTTTTTATTATCACATGAAAAAATAGTTAAAAAAACTTTTTTTTTTAATTGCGCTGTATATTTTTATGCCATTACCATGTACCACCATCAAAAAACCCTGCAAAATAAATTCTTCTACTCCTGACAGTCACAGTGATACCAAATATATGTGTGTGTATGTGATTTGTTCTTTGTGCCTATAGTAGGCCAAGAAACAGTAGCAGTGGCGTCCCAAGGCAGGTGCAGGGGATGGGTCCACACCAGGTGACACCAACCGCACGGGGTGACACCGGACCCACTCCACAAAAAGGTAAGTTGTAAAGCAAGTCGACGATGCCCGCAGGATGGATCCAATCCATCCAGCGGGGATCGTCGGCTTTCTTTACAACTTACCTTTTTTTGGAGCGGGTTTGGTGTCACCCCATTTAGGTTGCATGCCGACGATCCATTATGCTCAATCCGCAGATCCGATCCATTCTGCAGGGATCGTCAGAGGGGGTGTCACCAAGTGTTACCGCACCGAGTGCCACCTACCCTAGGGGCGCCTCTGAACAGTAGTATATATATTTTGGTTTTTTTTTCTGACACTCGCACTGACACTAAGTATAAAACCTTTTTTTTTCTTACCTAAAACACACTGACACTAACACTACCATTAACTGACACTAAATGACATGGGCACTAACTGACACAAATGACACTGACAATTACACTGCCATTAACTGCCACACTGCCATTAACTGGCACTCACACGACACCAACTGCTGTTAACTAATATTTACACTGTCCCTAACTGCCATTGACACTAAGTGACACACTGGGGTTTATTTACTAAAGGTGAAGAGTGCAAAATCAGGCTCTCTTCTGCATAGAAACCAATCAGCTTCCAGGTTTTATTGGCAACGCTTAAGCTGAGGTTAGAAGCTGATTGGATTCTATGCAGAAGTGAGCATGATTTTGCACTCTCCAGCTTTAGTAAATAAACCCCACTGACACTAACTGCCACTGACAAATTTCACTAAGCTAAGTAAAGCATTGAATTTGTTAATCTTTCTTTTTTCTTCTTCAACAGACTTTTTTTTTGTACAAAGGTCTCCTTACCAGGAAAATAGATACATTCTATCTTCTCTGCTAGCAGACAAGTGTGTTGTTTCTTCTTTGTACAGAGCCAACACAAGGAAGACCTTCAAAGTGAGTGACCACTGTGATAGCCAATCAGAGGCTATCACAGCAATCATGTGATCGGGATCTGGTTCCCCCAGTCCCGATTGTTAGTAAAGTTCTGTGGCTGTAAGTGACAGCCCGGGGTCAGTACTGGGAGCACATGATTTATTGTGTTCTCAGTACAAACACAAGAACACATACTGTATATTCGGCACCCATATGTGTTACACGGTAATGAAGGGGTTAAGCAACAGAGCCACTTACAGAAAGTCGAATGCTGCAGATCCCTATACAGGCATCACCAGCAACGTCTTTAGCTTGCTATGTTGATTTTTCAATAGGGACTTACACAGAGTGCAGCAATTAGAGGCATGATGGGACAGGATTGAAGGGGAGGGGTGATGTCCATTATTAGGACCTGAGGCTGTCAATGTTATATTTCCAGAGAGCAGAGCCAATAAGACATATTCTCAATCCATTATTTGTAGGCAGGGACAGATTTACCAATAGCCTCAGTAGGCGGCAGAGCACTTCCTGACAACCATAGGGGAGCTTCTTCCATTGGTCATTGGGTGGCCTATCTTATAGACTTAATGGGCAAGCAACAGCCAACCAAATGATTCCTACAGCAGACTGGCAGCGATACTATTAATTATGAGTTAGTGGTTTAGTGTTGTCAGCCTACAAATGAAAGTGCTGTTAGTGGCAGAGTCCCCAGGTAAGAAACTGTACAATAGATTCACAAAAACAGAATTTGCTTAGGAAAACTGAATAAAATGAGACATGATGCCAGACATACTGAAAAATAGATTTTGGACCTACATACTCAGCAAATCCCTTGCTATTGCCACCCCTGTCCCTTTAACCCCTTTCCTCCTCCCCTGGTATCCCATTAAATAGTTCAGAACATCTGGGGGTGGGAAGAATCGGTGATCAAGTGACCACTGTCACAGTAGTAACACGATCAGAAGCCAGTCCCGCTGGCTATCAATATTTATCCTTTGACAGTGAGCTCCCAGCAATAAACAACAGCTGCCTGCGATGCATTTGTGCGATGTGTGGATGTTAAAGCCCACCCTTTTGCCACCATAATATGTGTTGGGCGATCGTAGAGGGTAAGAGGATATGAATGCTGAGAGGCTGGGTTTCTGATCATGTGACTTCTATAATTGGCTGTTACAACAGTCACATGATTGGAAGCGCCAAATCTTAAATAATGATCAGGAGTTGCCCATGACAGCTAGCACTATGTTGGGAGTATGCAGTTAGCTTGCCCTCAGGAAAGATTGGCATTCCCCATGGGTGCATATATGTGTTGGTTCAGGATTAAAGCCCAGCCACTGTATATATGCATACAGACAGAAGGAAAAAGTGAAACAATTCCTCTTCAAAGTTCACAGCAGAAGAATGGATATCTTACCAGTCAATCTCTCAGCAGCTAAACTCACAGTAGGCATTTCCTTATATTTTAGATGTTGAGGATGTAAGGATGATGTTAAAGCTTCTGATGTGAAATCACATAACCCTACTTTAAAAATGTTTTTTTTTTGCTTACTTTCCTTTTTTTGTTTATATTTTTTTGGGTTTTTTTGAAGGCACTAGTGACAGGGCTCCAGCCACACAGATGCCCTCTGGGAAGGCAACATCACCATTGACTTCAGGGAGATCTCGTAACTAACCTGTGATGTCATGTGCCTCATTTTGCATATACGCCATACTAAATCACACACATTTGCTGGCAAAAAAACTTCTCACTGAGCTCTCACAAGATCCTGGGGGAAGGGCTTTATTTTTTTTATTTCATCTGATCTATGTAATGTCATATGGTGAGAATAGGTGATACAGAGGCAGATAGAAAATAGCTAAAAATGAAGAAAAAGTCACATGTACATAGGTAGGTATGCTTGTTTATTCCCCCCCCCCCTCTTTACATATTACTTGCCATTTTATAGAGTGGGTGGGGAGGGGGGTCCTCTGTGAGATCTACATGCTTTATAAATAACCAGCAAATCACCAATGAAGCAGTATTTATATATACATGTTATGTATTTATTGGAAAAGCCACCTGGAGAGAATGGGTACAAAAGATGTTAAATGCCATTAGGATTTGGACACCAAACTGCTATATCCTAGTGGGATTTCTAGACACCAGGTACTGCAAACACAAAAAATACCATATACTCCAAACTTTATATAGGTTGGAGCATATTCTCACAGGATTTCAAGTGCCCAGTTTTCCCAGATGGCAGCGGTGTGTAACAGTGCTGTCACCTATGCTTCCAGGAGTTTCAGAAGTTGTTTTTTTTTTCCTGGAAGGTCCACTTTGTCTTGTAGAAATAATATTGTTACAACATATTTATTAATGGTGCTGCCGAATTCCATCTTTTGCTCAAAAACATAATAAATGCATCCATATAGTAAAAATCAAAAACGTGCATCTGTTATTTTGTTGCATTGGAGCCTACAAAGCATTGCAGCTGTGATCCGTAGATCAATG